ACCCAAACTCGTCAGTCTTAGAATTCCTCCTGAACAACACACAGACACTATGTTCATGACTCACTGACTCATTCCTGTGTGTCAGTTGTTGTCCAAGAATATTGGTCATTGTCCCAATTTTCTCCTTGAATTTCTGACGTCTTCTCATTGAAGTTATCTCATGATTGAAATATCCCTTGTTGCTAACTCTTGAAGCTTCCTACAGTTCAGTTTGGCTCTAAAACTCAATGGCACAAAATTTTCATCCAGCATAGTTCACTCCTCCTAGATCTATTGTAACAAAAATAGTCAGTTCTTTCTATTACAGTTGCTCTTGTCATTTGTGTTGGATACCAATCACTCAAGCCCAAGCTGCCAAGTCTTTCCTCTGAAGAACAATGCCTGAGTTTCATGCCCCCCCATACTCAGTTTGAGACTTCTTTAGCAGTATCACCAGGCACCAGTTCTTTAACACCACTGTATATCTAGTCTTTAAGGCTCCTCAAACCCCCATTCTCTCTACTCTTCTTGTTGTCTCCACATCTCAACAGCAGTCTGATTACATCAAAATTGGTAAGCTTTCTTGTCCATAATGCCATAGAGATTTCACAATCAGGTGCTCTTGAAATAAGTACCACTGCAACCAATACATCTCCTTTTTTGTTTTTTAACAACTACCACACCCCCAGATGACATTGCTTCCATCCATACAAACTGTGATCCAACCCTTTCCATGTTTGCTGGGTCAGGGATCTCCCTTAATTTTCTTGTCAGAGCCCAGGGAAACAGTCATCATGGCTGATATGACTCTAATCCATCCAAAGTGTGTGAGCCAATCCCTTCTGTATCTTCTGAGTTGAGCCCCTATCTTAAGAATTAGTACTAGTCAGGCTGCATAGAAATGGTCATGCCAACTTGTGGGTGCCATGTGGACCATCTTAGCACCACTTATAGTCAAGAAGGTTGAATATAGTGTAGAGTGGCACCCAAATCAAAGCATCAGTTGGTGGCTTTGATTTGACTGATAGTCCAGCCTTCTTCTGAAGTGTCTTTTGATGCTTTTGAGCTTAAGATGACTGCTTGGCAACAAGCTCTGGTAGCAAAGTTATGATAAAAAAAATCTTAATATTATATTTAACCTCGTGAACTAGAAGAGGCACTACTAAGATGGCCAGAACCATAGCTTTTGTTAGAAAGAATGCTTCTAGCTGCTCTGAGGGGCGGTGCCTCCCTCCAAGGAGTTTTTGTGGAGGTGTGACCAAGGTGTATGCACTCTGACAAGCCAATTAAGGCAGGTCGCTTGACTCAGAGGACATAAAAGCAGTTGGTTCACAGTTTGGATGGATGAGAACCATGCCATTATCATTTTGAAGTGCACTGCCAAGCCCGTAKGTTGGGGGGCCTCAATCCCCAACCTGTAGGCAAGTTCCCATGCGCAGTGATCAATGAGATGGGTGTCAAGCACACTGGCAAGCCAAAAAAGGCAAGTCACACCCCAGTGTGCGAGGACACATGTAGTCAAAAAAAAAATAAAAAAAATAAAAGCCAAAAAGAAAAAGAAAAAAGGAAACGTCACACTTCTTTCACCAAATTACAGCTGGTCCTGCCCAAAGGAGCAGCTGCGTGAATGCCTTCTTGAAGAAGACACTGGTAATAAATCCATTAACCCTGCCACTGCTGGTCAGGAGGTCAAATACTGGGGGTGTTGCTGTTTCTGCCTACCACATAAGACAGGAACAACAACAATCGTGCTGTTGCTTTCTGGCACCAAGGTCGGAAACAACAGCAATTGTGACTGAAAAGCACTGGGGCTTCCTGTCCTTGAGAACTGGGGATGGTGGATCCAGCTGAGGCAAAGCACTCAGCKGGAGAAACTGGGGTTGGTGTTGTTGCTTTCCGGCACAAATGTCGGAACCAACAACAACCTGACCAGAAAACTCTTCCAGTCCGTAAATAAATCTGGAACTGGGGATGGTGGATCCAGCTGAGGCAAAGCAGCTCCAGTAACTGGGGTTGGTGTTGTTGCGTTCTGGCACGAATGTCGGAACCAACAACAACCTGACTGGGAAACGGTTCCGGTCCGTAAAATACTGGAACTGCATGGAGATGGAGATTCTGGGGAGTCTTTGTTAAAACTGAGTATGATGTAGCATATACTCCAGGCTTTGTTCTTTACTAGGTCTTGGTTGAATACTGGGGGCTGGGGTAGGTGCTGTTGCTTTCTGGCACAAATGTTGGAAACAACAGCAATCGTGACCGGAAGCACGGGGGCTTTCCGTCCTTGAGAACTGGGGATGGATCCAGCTGAGGCAAAGCACTCAGCTGGAGAAATAGTACCAGGGTTGATACTGGTAGGATTGACTGGGTGGGTTGTTATTGTATTCCAGCACAAATGTCGGAAACAACCACAACCCGACCGGAAAACTCTTCCGGACCGTAAAATACTGGAACTGCATGGAGATGCTGCTGGGGAATCTTCTTTAAAACTGAGTATGTATGTAGCATATACTCCAGGCTTTGTTCTTCACTAGGTCTTGGTTGAATACTGGGGCTGGGGTTGGTGTTATTGCTCTCTGGCATGGATGCCGGAACCAACAACAAC